TACCTCCCCGACAAACAAGGTTGGGTCAGAACCAGTGTGCATGTTGTAGAATGCCCTGAATTAATAAGTAGAGATACAGGCACAGGAGGGGCTGTTGTTGCTTACAGGGTACTGAGTGAGGGGGGGCTGGCAGGCTTGCCCTGAGCAGACCCACTGGTTGAATTGGAACTAGGGGGAAAATGAAAAAGAAATGGACTTTTTAATTGACACTGGAGTAGTTTTAAATCAGGAATTAGTGCCAAAAGGTGATGAATTTATTCAAGTAATGGGAGCTACAGGCCAATCAGAAAAAAGCTTTCTTTTTGAAACCCCTAAAATATAAAATTAGAAAACAAATGGGAATTTACCAATTCTTATATTTGCCTAATTCTCCAAAGCCCCTTCCAGGTAAAAACTTCCTAGAAAATCTGTGAGCTGTAAGAAAAATTTGATAAAAGCAAACTTGAATTTCAAGTAAACCCTAAGCCTGACTGTCAGAAAAAAATTGTGAGTGAAGCTTACCCCTTAGTGTGGGCCACAGATATCCCTGGGAAATCAAAGCAAGCTGCCCCAGTAGTTATAGAGTTAAAATCAGGAGCAAAACTGGTACATAGAAAACAATACCCATTAAGGGAATTGAACCCATAATAGAATGTAAATCACACGGTCTTACCTCAAAGGTTTTAAAACCAGTCCCACAATATTTTGAAATCAGTTATCTAAGGAATTGGAACAAAGGTAACGGCCACAGGGAGAGGGCGATCTTCTACAATATGTAGATGATTTACTCATAGCAACTGAAACTGAAGAAAATTGTGTACAATGGACTATAGCATTGTTGAATTTCTTGGGACTAAATGGATATCGAGTTTCCCAACAGAAAGCCCAACTGGTGCAAGAAAAAGTGGTATACCTGGGATACGAGATTTCTGGAGGACAACGATCCCTGGGAACGGAAAGGAAAGAAACCATCTGCCAGATGCCCAGACCTGACAGCCTCATTTCTAGAAGGAAGAATGCCAGCACAGCCTGTCGAGCATGACTGCCTGGAAACCATCGAAGCTGTGTATTCCAGCCGCCTGGACCTTACAGAAGGACCACTTGAAGACGCGGAAGACTGGTTCACTGATGGCAACAGCTTTATGAAGCATGGAGAGACACTGGCAGGTTATGCAATAACCACAACAGAACAGGTAATCGAATCAAACCCTTTGCCTACAGGAACCTCAGCGCAAAAAGCAGAGCTAATAGCTCTGACCCGAACTCTTGAACTGGCAGAAGGACAATGAATTAACATTTGGACAGATTTTAAATATGTTTTCTCCATTGTGCATGCTCATGGTGCAATCTGGAAGGAAAAAGGACTGCTGGCGACCTAAGAAAAACCTGCAAAACATGCTGAGGAAATCCTACAGTTGTTGGAAGCCGTCCAACTCCCAAAACAAGTGGCCATAATGCATTGCAAGGGACACCTGAAAGGTAACACCGTTCCAGAAACAGGTAACCAGAGAGCTGACGCAGAAGCTAAATTAGCTGCTG